AAAAACTGCAAAATATATAGTTTACAGATAGATCTGAAATCACTGATTGATTTAGATCATTCATTAAAGTTTAATAGCTGAAGCACTGTATATCTAAAGCTGGAGGAAAAGAAACCAATCGACAAACATTTCACCAGCTATAAATGTTTGAAATTACTGTCATTTAAAACAGTCTTTCAAAAAAATCCCTCAACAAAAGATCACGCTACACTTTAAAAAGTAATTCAAGGGACGTGTTCACACTCCTTAATTAAATACACGGTTGCAAGATTAAAAGATAAATAAATAAATAAATAATCTTATTTAGTGATTTAGATAAACTGTTTAAGCTGCACACATTATTTAATGGGTTGTGTATAATATTGGTAATTGCATCGTTTTTATATTGTGTGTAATTGAAATAACAATTTCTGCATTAGTCGATTTAAAACTACATTTCATTTGAGGTGACTTAACAAAATTGGCTCCACTGTGAGTTCAGGTCCCCTTCTTCACCCTAACATGGCTGCACAATTTCAGATGGTTTAGTCTGACACTTAAAAATATCTTGGACTGTAGTGGAAAATTCCCAGCTAATTCCCCTCGCTCACTGTAGTTTGTTGGCTCAATATAGTTTCAATAGAAGTTGTGATAACAAAAAAGCCTGACGCAGTTTGTTTTTTGTCCAAATATTAGCTTTAGAGTGTAGATTAAACAGAAAGAAACTTCAAAGTCATACTTACGTCGTTGTCAAGGGCTATCTCAACTTGAGGTAGGGCCTTTAACAAAGTCTCATACTCGTCAGATGCTCTGTTGGAAATCAGCATAAAGCTACTTCAGAAAAGCATATCAATACATCTGCATGACAAAAAGCACTATATGTAGTGTATGTACTGAAATCAGCACTGGTCAGGGTCAGCAGAAACGTGATGTGAAGCTTCGCATTGGGTCTTACATGTTGTTGATGTTGATCGTTGGTAGAAGAGCTGTATTTGGACGGCTGGCGCAGTAGGTGATCTTGTTTGCAGGGTAGTAGAAGAGGAAAGCCAGACACATCTCATCAGTGGTTGCTAGTTCCATCTGTAAGGAAGGAAATGGACTCATCATAGAGTGGAGCTACAGTCATGAACATGGTTTACCTAAACTTGTAAAGACCACGTATGTCATGGCAGTCTTGAGTTTTCATCGACTCCTGCAACTCCGAATTTTCTATGATGCAAACGTTGAAATACATCCGCCTTGTCACAAAAAAAGAATGAACCATACAGTTTGATCCTGTAATAGATGAATTATTAGTTCGCCATTTCAAAGCATTCCAACATCAACTGTGCAAACAACTGTAAGTTTAAAGTCCAGTTGTGTCACTGCCTTGATCAGTCAAAAAACACAAACCGCTGCTGAAAAACAGGTCAGGATGCTCAAAGGTCAACCAAGAATCGCCAAAAAGCAGGTGTGCAATGAGGTAGAAGTTGCTGGAACACAGGTGTGTTTGATTGACTGAGAGTGTAAGAAGGAAGTTCTTCCTCCAGAGGCAGCACCTTCAGGCTCGACTGAAGTCTCACATGGACAAAGAAAAGGCCTTCTGGAGGAGAGTTTAAAAAATAGTTATTTGACCACAATGACCAGAAATGTTTGGAGGACAGAAGGTGAGGCCTTGAGCTTCAAGAACACCAAACCTACCATCAAGCATGGAGGTGGCAGCATCATGCTCTGGGCCTGTTTTGGTGCCCGTGGAACTGGAGCTTTACACAAAGTAAATGGAGTAAAGAAGAAGGAGGATTACCTCTATATTCTCCAGGAAAACTTAAAATCATCAGACAGAAGGTTGGTCTTGGATGCAGTTGGGTTTTCCAACAAGACAATGACCCCAAACACACATCAACAGTGTTAAAGAATCAGGTTAGAATTAAGGTTTTAGACTTCGTAAAGTCTTGACTTAAACCTTAAATCAGGAACCTGTGGACTGATAAAGAAACAAGTCTATCAGAGAAGAGTGATCAGAGACACATCCAGAAGCTTGCAGACGGCTAATAAAAGTGGCTAGCTGAGGTGAAAATGACCAACGAATGTTTAAATATTAGCATTATTCTGTGTATATTTTTGACCCAGCAGATTTAGTGATTTCTCCAGAAGACCTGTAATAAATGTATGAAAGAACCAAAATGTATGATTGTTTTTGTTTTGTAATAAGGACGCATGAGTTTTAATGATTCCATCGTAGACAACTGAAACTCAAGACTGCCAGGATATACACGGTCTATACAAGTGTCTGTAAACTTTAATTCACAACTGTATGAGTGCTTTAACATCGCGTGTGTCCTAAAATTATGCCAAAGAGAGTGTTGTTTTTTTTTTAGCACTGTTCAACTTAGTTGCAGTAAATCTTTTCATGTGTCGTCTTCATTTAGAATTGCAGCTAAACAACTGCAGCAGATAGTGAAGCAATAAACAGTCTGATTTACGTGGCTCATCCTGGACACAGACATGAATTATTAAATCGCTCATTTGTTCATCTGCATCAAAGGTTTCAGGTTACCATCGTCTTCTGATTTTACTTTAGCGCTTCATGCTGTAATGACACGAGGTCACGCAGCACCGACCCACCTGAGTGATTCCATCTCGGTCGGCGGTGCTGTAGGTGCACTCCACTATGATCTCGTCACCCTGTAGAGGAAGTAATGAGGCACCATAAGAGCCAAAACACTGTTCTTTCTTTAGCATGTAATAGACGTGATTACAGCTTACAGGCTTGATGGTCTTGATGCTCCCCAAACTGACAGTTTGTTGAAACTCAAAGTCGTAGTTTTCATCCAAGCCCAAGAAGCCTATCTGCTTTCCATCTCTACAGAAGACAAGAGTTTATGAAAGAGTATAGTAGCATACATCAAACCTCTGTTCAACAAGATAAACTCTATGGATCCCACAGCGGAGAAAGTTCACCGTTACAACAGTTCCAAGAGAAAACGTGTGCAATCAGTGCAAATTGTAAGAAAAAAAAACAAAAAAAAAACAAAACAGAAATACACAGCGCAAAAATTACAAGAGAAAAAATGTTATATACAGATTTTAAAAAAAAAACAAAACACTACACAAGATGAGGCAGTTATTGCACATAGTGGAATGGGTTTGTTGGTGGAAAAAGTGCAGCAGTAACAGAGGAGATTGCTTTATTTATTTGACTACTTATGTGTATGTATACATGTATATATACTTAACATTTCTGTTTATTTTATTTTTTTAGTTTTCTTTTATTGAAACCGGAGGCTGGTACAAAATACATTTCACTGCACGTCACTGTTCTGTGTATAAATGTGTATGTGACAAATAAAGTTTATCTTGAATGTTGCGGTGCTCGTGGAGTTTATAATGCACCATAGTAAAGTCTGACTGATGTTGGAATAAAGAACCACCGGAAACGTTCCTCCTTACACTACAAAACAAAACAGGAGTTAATTTTTAATTTTTTAAAAATTAAAACCAATCCATACTAACAATTACCAGCTATTTCTTATTGCGTATTTAGTTACTCAGTGTATTGTTCTTACCTGAAGTGACCGACTCTGACCTTCCTCCCAGCTAAGTGAGTGTGCAACAGCACAGCAAACACATGGAGGTCGGGGACAGGATTTACATGCTGCGGGTCAAAATGAGACTTTCATGAATATGGGTGCGAACGCTGAACATTACTCCTAAAAACGTCTGTCATTTGGAATCCACGTAGCACAACCGTATACCTGAGAAAACTGTGACGTGTTACAAATGCCGTAGGTGCGAAACTGAGAGGTTTTTGGCGGGATGTTGTAGGTCAGGGGGCTTCTGACCAGCACGCCTGCATTGAGAATGCTGGCATCATGCTGCCGGAGTTGAGCCGTGTAGTGCAGCCTCAGCCCGGAGCTGTCTGTGATGCCTGTACAGAGAAAGACAACCGCAAATAAAAACAATTAAAATAAAAAAGAATGCATCAACGCACATTTCATTTTTGAATTATTAAACACAACTTAATGCTGTTGAAGTGTGTGTGTGTGTGTGTGTGTAAGAGTGTATACAGCACACTAGTACATGCACCATATTTACCTGCTTTGCTTTCTGGGTTGTTGTAGTGGATCTCCAGCCTATAGAACGGATTATTATTGTCACCTCCAACAGGAATACCCACATTTTCTGGAAACTCAAAAACCTGTGGATCAACCAGTGGTAGAAAGCAGCTAAATATATTTACTCAAGAACAACACTTAAGCACAATTTTGAGGGAAAACTTGACCATTTTCATTTATTTGGCACTTTCTGCTCTGATAAATTTATCTGACGCCTTTAGTTCCTTTCCGGATGAAGACTTTACACAACACAGGAAGTCTTTAGCATACAACACATTGTTAAAGGTTGCACCACTGATGTCTCACAAACATCAGGTCACACATCAGCTGTCCAGGTGTATAAACTAAAAGCAGATTTGTGTGTCAGTAGTACCAATAATTATCTCATCCCTGCAGATTCAGCTGCTGTCCCTGTCTATAAATCTGTATGTACAGTCGTTCAGACTAACTCCAGCTACATGAGCTACAACACAGACACGTCTGACTTTGAAGAAAGTAATAAAAAAAATTGTTCTGGCGTTTAGCAAATAGAAATGTTGGTAATCCTGATTGACCTAAAACAGGAACAGTTTAGTCTGATTTAATGTCAGACAGTAACAAGAAAAAGGCTATGTGTCTTTTTATACAGTGTGCATGTAAACTTCTGGTTTCAGCTGTATGTTATTTTGCTTGAGTTTTCATGCAGGACTTTTACTGAGCGTGCTTCTACATCGCTCTATTGGTGATTTCACTTCAGTAAATTCAACACTGCGATCGACTTGCACAACAAGACAGACAAAATTAATCTGTGAATTCAAAGATGGACTAAAACGAATAATAATATTAATAATTGATCAGATTTATATAGCGCTTTTCTGGACACTCAAAGACGCTTTACACTGTCAATTATTCATTCACACACATTCACTCTGGTGGTGGTAGCTACGATTGTAGCCACAGCTGCCCTGGGGCAGATTGACAGAGGCCTGGCTGCCATTCTGCGCCTATGGCCCCTCCGACCACCACCTCAAACAATCCATTCATACCAGGCAAGGTGGTGAAGTGTCTTGCCTAAGAACACAACGACCATGAAACAGGTCACAGGGCGGAATCGAACCGCCGACCTTCCGATCATTGACCGACTCGCTCTACCACCTGAGCCACAGCTGCCCCAAACTAGAGTAGAGAAACTTGGTCGTCCCTCACCGCTCCTCCAATTCCCCATGAAGCCAAGACATGAAAACAGGTGTCGCCCACGTCGCCCACGTAGCACTTATACTCATACGTCTGCGTCACGAAGTGGGGGCATCGGTACAACAGGATGTGATGAACGACGTCTTTGTTCTCTATCACCGGTTCAATCTGAGGGGGGCAGAGGTTTTAGGTTGGGACAGTTTAGTTTCTAGCTATTCATGCATACATCAGACAGGGTGCTGCTGACATACAGATTATTGTAGATTAAAGCCTCTTTAATAGACATCTCAAGAAAGAACTGCATTAAATTTGCTCACTCTGTGTACACAAAGCAAAGATGCTCACCTGATATATGTGATGTTTCGTATTTAACTTTGGGAACTGCAGGACCTTGCAGTGATAGTAGGTAGGAACGGCTGGCACGGTGAACTGCAAACAAGAAAACAGTTTTCTTTCTGTAACAGCAGCCATTCGTCCTCACTGTTTATTAACTGTCACCGTCCACTGTTACTCTTACTTTGTCCATCTGGGCACTGAGATAGTTGGAGCTGGTCGGGACGGTCCTTGGCATATAGTTGAGCAGGTTTACTTCCTTGGTGCCTCTGCGAGACATGTGGTATTCAATCTTATCTGTCGTTCCGTACGCGTAGATTAGCTTGATGGGCCCAGTCTGTTAGAGAGATTCAAGTTGTAGTCAAGAGATTTAAATATAATGCAAAAGCAACAGCATGAAAGGACTTTTATCCGGCGAAAGAGGGTCACAATGGCTTTCTTTGTTTCTGTGTGAGCTGGAAGAGCCTTTATCTTTAACTGCTCCACGGCACAGTAACGTAGCAACTGTCTAGCATTTCAAGTGTTCAACGGAAAAAAAACACAAACTTGTGCATTTGTTTGTGTTGTTGCCTTTGTCTTCATATCTGAGAACACCCTGCTGTGAGGTGAAATCCTATAAGTCGAACAAAAGAGCTCACATAACAGATGGCGATAAGCGGGAAACTTGAGAATTACGGAGAGAATGGGGTGAACAATAAAAAAGGCGATTGTATAACGGGCCACGACAGAATACACAAAGTACGACATGACTAGTGGTTTATCTCCATGGTATAAAAGAACAAACAAAATCTGAAGTGTACAAGGTGTAAAAGGTCTAATAATAGTCCTGGTCTTATAAAACATGGTTCCTTTTTTGTCATTTTATCGTGTCTGTTCTGCAGAAAGTGTCAACCAGTCTGCCATCAAAGTATTTGACATACTTCCTAATGTGTGTGTGTACATACATAGCTTTTTACATTATTTCTCACCAAACCAGTTTTATACCAAAGAATGATTTTGTGTGCAGGACACTTGCATTGAATCCCGTATATGCAGAATGCAGTAGGAAGAGAACAACAGTGTCTTACAGTGATGTGGAAGTCTTTGTCATCACACGCTTTGATGGTTCTCTGAAACGTCATGATGGTTTGGCCGTCGTTTTCGCTCATGGAGAGGAGGACGTAGTTCTGCTGCTCATCCACCAAAGGCGTGGACTTCCCCGTGGCGTGCCGATCCTAAAGGACAGACAGGCAAAACCTTCAGACAGAAGAAAGCCTGACACCAGCTTTAGTCGCCAAACATTTTAACTCAAGGCCCTAAGCTTTTATATGTAAGTATGGAGGAGTTGGTGTTGGTATAGCAGCTTAAAAACTGAGTTTGCAAAGTGCTTTGACAGACGAGCCAGAGAAGGAGGACACTCAGGAAGACACTATAACAACAGAAAGCAAGTGAAGCCAAACAGAAAAGACCAGTGAAGCAAAAAAAAGTGGAGAAAAAGAGTAAAAAGAAAATGCAAAACACAGACCTGCAACATAAATAAATCAGTTCAACAACTGATTAACACCAAAAGGAAAGAAAGAAAGAAAGAAAAAAACAAATCCAGACTCTTGTTCTGAAAAACCTTTATCCTTAGGTAAAGCTGAGAGGGAGCTTTGCATTTGATCCTCAACTCCGGAACAATCAGAAGGATTGAGGATCAAAGGCTGTTTCAGTTAAACAGCTTGGAGCCAAAACGAGCTCTAGACGAGTACAATCAATTCTAAAACGTACGTCTACTCATGTAGCTGCTCTCTTACTGTGAAGTAGCTCCCATCGGGTCCCAGTCCCCCGATGACGATGTCTGACCCCTTCATGCCTCCGTTTGGACTCAAGCCAAAGCCCACCCAGCCCGTCGAGTTGACTACCAGCTGGAATGTGATGTTCCCTTGCAGATTGTCGAAGCCCCACTTCAGACACACCAGACGGTCCTGGTCCAGGTACTCCATGAACGGCATGGTGGGGTCCACCGCCCCTGCCACTCTGGTCCAGGCCAGTAACAGGGGCAGGAGGGGAAGCAGAGAGCACATGGTGTCTCTGTGAGCTTGGAAAACTTCAAACTGAGCTCAGCGACTGTGGAGTTGCCAAAAAAAAAAAATCCCTCCCACCCCCTCCAAAGACACACCTGCACTGTGAGATGAACTCGAGCGATACAGTCAGAAAAGTGCTCAGTCATTTGCCATTTGCCCTTGTGCAACAACAAACACCACAAAGAACCTCTTGGTGCTCTCAGCCACATTCAGATTTGTTATTTTTTTGTTGTTCATTTTCAATACAATTCCAAATGTAAGTGTTTCTTCAGAGCTCAGCGTTGAATCTGCAGGTTCAGGCTCTTTGATGTCAGTCAAAATCTCCAGATTGCTGCTCGGTGCTGCCAAAAGTCTTCTCACAGCCTCTTTCTGTGCCGCTCAATGAGCCGCCGGACTCAGGTGTTTGATAAATGAAGAGGTGACGAGGAGGGAGCAGAAATGAGAGATAAGCTGCCTGCTCCCCTCTCACTTATTGTAACCCTCTCAGATATCAAACGCCCGACTTAAGCCACAAACGGTCTCATGTTACAGGACTGTGATCCCGGCATCACATTAGTGCGTTTCTGTCGCTCGTATTCACGCTTCACTAACTTCAACTGTCTCAGCTTCACGAGAAAATTCACTTTCAATTTCTGGATTTAACGCAACAGATGACACAATGCTGGCTCGGGCTGCGGCCAGGCCCTCATTATAGATCCCCTGACTTCAGCGAGAGCTTCAGGAAAAGTGGGATGACGTTCCACAGGCGGCATCAACAACCTCATTAACTCTGCGTGTGTGTGACTCATTACAGACTTGTGTGACTTCTGGTCTATGACCCGTTCTCCATCTGCCCATGACGGTTTCCATAATAGCGTATAATGTGGTAGATTGTTGGTTATTTTATGGTTTCCATTTTGTTGTACGGATGCTGCGTGTTGGGACAACAAATACCTAATCCACTATGTTAACAAGAACGAAAAGGATTTAATAAATAAACAAATACTGTTGTACAAATGAACGGTATAAATGAAGTCCTGTAGCGTGACTGTGGCAGCGGAGCTAGATGAGTCTGTTTCTTTATTCTTGCTTTAGTTGGAGCCTTGTTGTTCTGCTTCATCTGTATGTAGCTGCTGTAACATGTACATTTCCCGTGAGAGATCAATAACTTTTATCTAATCTCATCTTAAAACACAACATGCTGCAGTTATAATTTCATTCCCTGTGTTTGTATTTTAGATTTACTGCCCAGTGAATGCAGATAGAAGATGGTTAGTATCCAATGCATTTATTTTCCTATGAGACTAATGTCACTGTGCACAAAAAAAGTATTTTGGAAGCAGTAACCTGTGGTGCAATTGAACAACAATTCATTACACTTATGGGTGTTTTTGTTATGTGGCTTATTGTCACTGACATAAATGGGCCAGAAAAATAAATAGGATTTTGTATGGGGCTGCAAGGTGTCTTGGTGGTCAGCACTGTTGCCTCGCAGCTAGAAGGTCGCCGGTTCGCGTCCCGGTGAGGACACCTGTGGAGTCTCCATGTTCTCCCCGTGCAGCGTGGGTTCTCTCCGGGTTCTCCAGCTTCCTCCCACAGTCCAGAAACATGTTGAGGTTAATTGGTGATTCTAAATTGTCCGTAGGTGTGAATGTGAGTGTGCTTGGTTGTCTGTCTCTAAGTGTAGCCCTGTGATAGACTGGTTACCTGTCCAGGTGAACCTGCCTTCACCCTGAGTCAGCTGGGATAGACTCCAGCCCCCCATGACCCTAGTGAGGATGAAGGTGTAGAGATGATGGATGGATTTTGTATCCACCACAACATGGACTGAAATGTAATGGCACATTCAGCCCAGCAGGGGTCGACTGAAGCGTAAGAAATAAGTTTCGGGTCGACTCCCTTTGAGCACAACATACTTCCAGAGTCTGGTCAGGAAACGTCCTGTGGCTGCCACCAGTGGTCAGAGCACCGACCTACAGGGCAGTTATCATTATTATTATTTATTACAGAAACACACATTGTTATTATTATTATTATTATTATTATTATTAGTAGTAGTAGTAGTAGTAGTAGTAGTAGTAGTAGTAGTAGTATGTCTTTGACATTCAAAAAAATAAAAAAAAATGAGGCTATTGTTAGCATACACTGTATTTGTTAAGCAACTTCTTTCTTTCTTTATCTATTTATTCACTTTTTTTTTTATTTCAAACTGAGACGATAAATAATTTTCTTTTATTCAATTAATGATTGATTAATTTATTATATATTTTTTGTAAGTTGAGGTGTGTGTGGCCTTAAACGGTCCGGCGCTCGGGGGGCCGTGCCAGACCTGGACCGTTCCGGGTTCCTGTCTCGGGTCACTCCCTCCTCGCGCTGTCAGCAGCAGCAGCAGCAGCGACGCGCTTCAAACTTGGCAGCAGTCGCTTCCAGCTACTCCCCTTCCAACCGTCGGTTCCCAGCTTTCTGTTGTTTTTTCTCTCTCTGGACTTTTTAACTCAGTTTTTTTTCTTGTTTTCTTGTTTTTTTAGTAACGTGTCAGTGCGCTGTGTGCCGTCCACCGGGAGGAATTACCGTGTTTTTTTTTTTTCTTCGCCTTTAGCCGAGGAGCGACGGGGGGAGAAATGTCCAGCTGAGGACTGGAGATCCTGAAAACCGCAGGGCCCTGTTTTTGTAATGATTGATCAAAGCCTCGACTATGGCGCTGAAGGTAGGTCTGACAACTTCTCCAGGCTTCTTCTAAACCTCTAACCCCGCCGTGGATGCCTCCCTCCGGTTCTCCCTGACAGTTGTTTTCTCTCGGATCGGGTCGGACTCGGTCGGAGTTGCTGCTCCTCGCACTAGTTTTTTACAGTCAGCGCTTCTCTCGGCACATATTCCGAGTTTAAAGCGGTTTATTAAGTCGCTGTTGGCGGCGTGTCATGGCCGCCTGCAGCACATCTGTGTGGGTTCAACGTGAATGTTTTTGCTGTACATGGAAAATGTGTCTCATTAAGAAAGTGTCTTGTGACATTTTACTACCTTTCCAGTGCGGGTCATTTGAGCTGCGGGGGAATTCTGGGAAATGTAGTCTGTGGCGTGTGAACCGTGCAGGGCAGGGACATGGAGATTAGATTAGATTAGATTGCGCTTTAGTTTTTCACCACAAATGGGGAAACTCACTTGTTGCAGCAGTTTGGTTACAGCACAAAAAAGTGACAGGAAGAAAAGACAACCAGCTGAGAAATGTAATGCAATAGAGCTACACACACAAACACACACACACTATCCATCCATCATCTCTACACCTTAATCCTCACTAGGGTCGTGGGGGGCTCGAGTCTATCCCAGGGTGAAGGCAGGTTCACCTGGACAGGTAACCAGTCTATCACAGGGCTACACTTAGAGACAGACAACCAAGCACACTCGCATTCACACCTACGGACAATTTAGAATCACTAACAGGTTTCTGGAGAACCCAGAGAGAACCCACACTGCACGGGGAGAACATGGAGAAAGATCCCAGGTGTCCTCACCAGGACACGAACCGGCGACCTTCTAGCTGCGAGACCACGGTGCTAACCACTGAGCCACCTTGCAGCCCTGCTATGAACTTAAAAAAATTAAAAACAAGATAAATAAAACAAAATATGGTACAATATAGTAATTATTGCACTTAAGGGAGATAAATTGCACACAGTGAAGGGTATCCTGAGAAGACCTGGGCGTGTATTTTAGAAGATGCAGTGTTGTTATGGATTCTGACAGCGGTTGGGATGAAGGACCTGCAGTAGCGCTCCTTCTTACATACAGCTGAACTAAATATCAATCAATATCACGAGATATCAATAAACAGAGATCATTTCAACCACCTGTTTTGATGCAGTTGAATTTAGCCGTTTTGATTTGACAACACACACAGTTAAATACATTTACACACGACAAGAATAGAAGGAAATGATCTCATCTTAATACACATTAAATGCATAAAATGTGAGCTCTGAGGCAGTCAGGGTGAAGCTGCACCACCACCGCACTGAGGTTGAGGTTCAGAGTAGGAAGAAGCGCGCCGGTTGTGGACGCTCTGACACCACAAAGCGCATCTCGCTGGGGCAACCGCTGCTTCCTGCTGACTGTAGCTCCAACCAGGGCAGGTGTGCAGGTGCGCAGGTGCAGGCTGAGGCGACAGGAGGCCGGGCTGCCTCAGGATAGCAGCACATCGTCATGCAGGGAGAGGGGGCTGAATGTGATAGGGCCAGTGAGAGAACATGCTTCTTGTTTTATCAATGCAGCTTTCCGTGATGTGCTCTAATGGCAGTAATGTATTTAAGTGACACCATCATTTCCGCAATGCTGCTGATTAAGTGTCCATCTCTGGTAGATATCACTCTTGTTTTATTGCCAAGTGCTGGTTCTCTATAGCTGGATCAGTAAAAGTTAGTTGTACTCTGTTACAAGTCCTACTTTTACATTTTTGTTGAAAATAAAAGTACAAATATTCACTATTATTATTGGATTATAATTATTGATCCCTTCAGAGTTGCAGCTGCTGAATGTGAGGCAAATTTTACTGAATTTATTTGCCACTGGGTGCTTTGTACATTTCAGTTCCAGTCATATTTTATCCTAATTTACTTGTTGCACATGTGTTTTTCTATCACTTTTATGAAGATGCAAAGTGATTAAAGTTATCAAATAAATGTAGAAAGTCTGATGTTTTCCTTTGATAAATTGATTAACTGTCAGCTATTTAATTATTTGTCAACTTTTCGGATAAGCAATTAATTGGTTTGAGCCACTATTTAAGAATAAAAGTCTAAATTCTTTGATTCCAGGTTATAAAATCTGAACATGTTCTGGTTTGTCTCTCCTCAATGAGAGTAAACTGATTCGCTTTTTTTGTTTTTACCATGTTCTGACATTTCACAGACCAAACAGTTAATCAAGAAAACGATCAACAGATTGATGAGTAATAATTGCGAGTTGAAGCCCTGATGTGAATGCAGAATTCTGTACATATAAGCGACACCTGTAGCATTCGACAACATTTGAATTTTTAGTTTAATCAGAGTGACTAACATCCACGCACAGTCACGCCACCATAGCAAGGAAGAAACGCTCCATGGAGTTGATAACGGAGCCAGCAGCAGAGCCCGGGCCGCTGCCAGAAGCATCCGTGACGCTCTCTGTTATGTAGTTCCTGCTAATAAACATCATCCTGCTTCCTCCACTCCCAGGAGCTGGTTGACTAACACGAAAATAGACCTCTGTTCCACGGATCGAAAATAGCCCTTCATTCTGGTTAATGAACACGGAGGTTAGTCACACACTGCAGCTTTGATGCTGTTTTGATAAAATGCTGGAATAGTTTTCACTCAGCTGCTGAACGAACATGTGTTTGTGCTCCTCTGGGGCCCCGGGGGAAGGACAGATTAGTGGATGTGGGTCAGTGTGAGAAGACATGTGGGCTCCTGTATTAAACTGAACCAGGTAACGTGATGGTTCTGACCTTGTTTTGGTTTATGCTGGAATTTAGGCGAGAGTCAGCGTAACCGGCACACGGAGGAACTAGTTTGGCCTGTTTCAAAGCACCTTGAGTTCTCTTTACAAGACTTAGACTGTGTGTGATTAGGTGTGCGAGTGCATTTGTCTACGTGCAAAGAAAATTCATCCTCAAATCACTCATTAAACCTTGTGTGTTTGTTTTCTCGGGTCTGCAGGCACAGGTTTTATATGACTTCTCTGCTGAGCCTGGAAACAATGAGCTGACGGTGAAAGAGGGCGAGACAATCACCATCACCAACCAGGTAAACAGTCCTCCTCTACATTCCTGCTTCCAGCACGCACTATGTGAGTTAGGAAGTGTGTGAGTGTGAAGTCTGTGCTGTTGTTGGGTTTTTTGGTTTTGCTTTGAATGTTTGATCGCTTTATATGATACAAGTTTGTTGTGCCTTTGCTGTTGGTGCATGTTCTATGTGCTAATTTCGAAGTGAATTATCACAGCTTGCAGTGTTAAAGAGGTCAGAAAATTGAAGGGTGTCATTTGTTGTAGGCAACATTTGCAGCTACTAGTTTAATTTTTACTCTTTTTTTCTGGCATGCTAATTCAGTCAGTGGTGCTTTCTGCCATGAGGTCAGCTTCCGTTCATAGCACTGTATACTGCAGCCGTTAATTAGTTAATTAGCTGTTTATGAAGCTCCTCCTCCAGCATTGTTAGTACAAACTATCAGCCCTAGAAAATCCCACACCTCATGTTGTCTATAATCGGTGTGTGTCATAAATATCTACCGAGGAAGGAAGAGCAAGTGGTAAAAAGCGCAGAACAAACATGATGTCATGACTGAAAGCTGCAAACAGTTCAAAGATCACTCGCTGTGTGCTGACCTACATAGTTTCCTAATCGAAGTCAGTCTTAAGCCGGCCAGGAAAACAGATTTTTTATTTTTTTGTCGCTAAATACACTGACTGTGCAGTAATTTGTCCTGGGAGGTGTTTCAGTAGATTCTTGGTGAAACTAGTTACTGCTTTAACCCAATCTATTAAGTGAAACACAGTTACAGAAGCAACAGCTCCATTTATCTGTGGAGGCTTGATTCCTCCAGGGTTCCTGCACATGTGTAGGTCCACTACCTAATACAGTATCAGTGAATGTTGGTGCAGCAGCAGAGAGACTCAGTGAAAGGAAACATCTGGGCTTGTAGCAATGTTCTCCTGCATCAAAAGGAGTCAAATCTAAAAGTGAAATATCTTCTTCTCCTGGATTAGTGCTCATCAGAGCAGAGTTTGGTGTCTCTTTACAGAGTCTGCCCTCCAGCTATCAGTCCAGATGAATCAACAGATGCATAAATAAATATTCTGATTTAATCACCAGCTGTGTATAAAAACGTGGGTTTTAGAGTAATCAACTTATCGCAGTCCACAAATGTTTTTTCTGCATTATTGCCCAGTAACTTGGAGTTCTGTGTGCATGTGATGCAGACTGCTACTCTTTGGTGACCCGGTCAGTCCAGGAGCAGTTCTTCATATGCAGAGACAGGTTGTTGATGGTTTGACA